GTGGGCAAAAATGAATGGCTATATTCTTAGATAGAATAAGGAAAATAATAGGGAGAGCTCAGGGTCCCTGAGCTAGATATTTTAGAACAATTTTTACATTATATTACTCTTAGATAGAATGATATGGGCAAAAATAAATAAAATAAGAATAAATAGATAAAATAATACAGGATGTCCCAAAAATTTTGGAGGTCCTTGAAAGTGGTTCGGGAGGTGATTTGAAACAACTTTTTCCTTAGCGAAAATGTTGTACGAGGCTTGGTTAAGGAGATATTGACAGAAAACCCCGGACCAATCAGAGCGCGAAGATGCTAGTGAAGCGCCGGCAGTAGCGTATGAGCGCGGTCGCCTAGTGCGTAGACCACGCCTACAGCGGGCGTACTCGCGCTCTGATTGGTCCGGGCTTTTCTGCTAATATCTCCTCAACGAAGCCTCGGACGACATTTTCGCTAAGGAAAAAGTTGTTTCAAATAACCTCCCGGACAACCCCTTTCAAGGTGTTACAATATTTTTGGGACACCTTGTATATACAGGGTAGAGGTGATTTAAAACAACTTTTTCCTTAGCGAAAATGTTGTCCGAGGCTTCGTTGAGGAGATATTAACGAAAAACAGTGACCAATCAGAGCGCGAGTATGCCAATGGAGCGCCCGCTGATTGGTCCGGGGTGTTCTGCTAATATCTCCGTAAGGAAGCCTCGGACAACATTTTCGCTAAGGGAAAAGTTGTTTCAAATCACCCCTCGAACCACTTGTTTCAAGGAACTCCAACATTTTTGGGACACCCTGTATATGTCAAAATAAATACCTATATTCTTAAATAGAATAGTCTAGGCAAAAATAAATCAATTGCAATAAACAAATATAAATCATTAAGAAGGATTTTCGAAAAGGGCCTTCACTATTTTGTTTTTTAATAAGATATACATCTCAGAGCAATCGTGATGGATACTCAAACAATATCACCTTTCAATAATGTATTTATACTTTGATGCACTTTTATTTAAAATTACAAAAAGAAAACAGATGCGTGTTATTAAATCAGAAATTGCTAAAGACCGTCTTAAAAAATCCTTTATACACAATATAATTTTACTATTGACAGACTGATTGGTTGAAGTACAAAATATTCCCACAAAGTATCATTTGTTAAATTCGTTTAAACAAATAACAAATCTCTAACCAATGCAAGATATAAATGAATTAAAAATGTATATGTAAATATCACAGATAATAGATAACAGATAGTTATATAACAGTGTACATACATTAATATTTCATATCGTATTTGACAAGTATAGACACTCGTCGTTGTTATTTCATTCTGTCAATTTTACTGCACATATTCATCTATATACTAATAATTAGTCAATTATTATCTTTCAACTCCTCTACGTATGATACTCACTGAATTCGTAAATTGTTCCATTATAGACTAGTGGCGGAGCACTCGAGACAGATGTACAAGCGATGGTAACAAACATGCAGGAAACAACGAAAAGCTTCATGTTGTTTAGAACAGAATTCTAAATGAAACGAGCGGAGGAGGTTAATATCTTATCTCTTGAAGAGACTCTTGGTTGAATGATGACCGCGAAACGATTATTGCTTATATGTACATGATCTTGATCGAGCACAGATTTTTGTTGATGTTTTCCTGGTGTAGTTGTTTACTGCTGAGCAATAGATCTTATTCTGCAACTTTTCCTGGAAATCCCATTCATAGCTTCACACTCTAAGCTGAAGAAACTATTCGATCCGATAAATCGGTATTGTGTAACACGCTAACTATAGTTTATCCAAGAAAACATGCGAATAAGCAATCGCGAGAGATTATAATGCGAAATTTATTATTTACTAATGCAGAAATGTAAATATTAAGCTGTGTCGAATGTTTCTTTCGAGACTTGCATTGATCGTCAGTTGTTTGGCATGGTAGTGTTTAATTATATAAATACACAATCTAATCTTAGACATTGAAGTTATAACAGTAATAGAACAAAATCGATCGTATACAGTTCAGTAATGTAACATATTACTTAACATATTGCGTATACCTTACTTGGTAATAAAAATAATTATTGGAAAAAAAATATAACCGACTTCGGAGGAATATTAAAACTGCACTAAAAAGTGTGAAGTTCTAGTTCATTGATATGAATAATTGCTCAAAAGTATGAAATAATAGCGTTGCCGTCCTGCTAGTAATTCGTGTTTATCATTGTTGCCCTACCAGATTACAGGTGTGCTCTATAATTACAACAATTATAAAATAATAACAATATACAAAATTTAATGACTACTAAAGTTCATATAGATGCATTGCAATGGCCATCAGATTGAGACTTATGTGTAGATTATACATAATTAAATATAGAGGCACGGAATTAATAAAGTGGACACTTAATACACCTCATTTTGGAAAACAGCCAAATGTACACCTGATTTTGGTTTATAGATATACAATTAACTTATGTGAAGAACATCGAAAGAAGTGTACCTACTTTATGAATGAATTCGTATGTACACTCAATTTCATTGCATTTAGGTGTGGAAATTAATTCCGTGCCTTTGTATTGAATCATTTATAACTAGACTGCGGATTACATGCATTTATTAAATACAGTACGATGAAAAACATAAACAATAACCTTGTGCTAAATATTTGTCTCCGTAATAAGATATAAGAATTTATTTTCGAATCAGTTTATTTTCAAATCGAAAAACGAGAATTTTGTTTATACCGAATATATCGTGAGTTATAAATACAACAGTAATGGATAAACGATGAATTGCTAATCAATGAGGAAATGAGGGAAGTACGCCTGGCATCGAGGAAACTTTCAAGAAAGAAAAACGTGCTTGCGATGATAATGATTACGAATCCATTGAAATCACATTGCGATGATTCAAGCAATAGTAACAAATAATGCGATACAAACAGTGGCTAATAGTTACGATTTAATAACAACTTATTTATTTGAATACAAGCAGAACAAGTTTAATCAGAGGACGAAATTATAATTTTAATGTTGTTAAATTTACTTCTGTTTAAATAAAAATACGTGATCTCGCAGTCTCAAATTATTATTATGTTTATTAAATGTTTATTAAATGTGTATTAAATGTTTTTGCTTGTTAACAGGACTGCAATTGTTAATATATTCCCAAAAAGTCCGTGTAAACTTGTTATTTTCTTTATTACATGATAAAATCGACCTGTTAATTACAAATTTTTTTAAATCACTTTCTATTTTTTTATATAAAATATTCATTTACTTAACGAACTACCTTTGTTATTAATCAATCGATCCTATGATATTGAAATTTTCTTAATTCGGTACAAACTAATAAGTTTGTATTAAGTAGTCGGCCTTTTTTATCCAGGTTTCAACAATTGGCAAGAGTGATAGAGAATTAGATAAACCCATGTCAATAATGGGATTGCATTTATTAATTAATTGCATTTATCAAAATCATTTGATTTGGATTTCCAGATCGACATTTCTTTATTTATTAATGAACACGTACGACAATATAAAAAACAGAAACTTAAAAATATCAATTTCCGTACATTTTTTTCATAACATTTTTCATACAACTTTTTGACAATCATCTCTCAAAGTGTCAATAATTGCACGATTAACCATGTGTATTACAAAAGTAATGAAAATGCTCCGAGCAAAGCGATCTTTTGCGTCGGATTCTTCCGAACAAATTGCAATGGCTGTTCCAAACAATAACTTTGTCTCAGTGGGGAATCAAAACTGAAATTGATGATTGATGTGCCGTTCCACCGAGTTGTTCCATACACTGCGAGAACAAAATTGGAATTTGAAGCATTCCCTCGGCGAAATCACACCGCAAACACGTATCGATCCAACTTTGAAACCGAATCCACTTTTGGAAACTTTTTCAATACTTCGCCGCTCCCAGCGTTCGATACACGAGGCGTTCAAAAACACGCATTCTTTTCCTTCGAACCTGCAAAGAAATTTATTTTACCTTCTTTCGAACTCGTACCACATGAGGAACGTTTCTATTGGATTATGGGTGGAAATAATAAAATAAAATACTATAGTTTTATAGAAAATGAATTTTATTCTGACTCTAAGAAGGCTATGAGAGGCAAGTCGAATTTACTATTAATGTTGTCTCTCAACTAACCGACACCTCAACGATCGAACTCGTTGTTGTTTTGGCGCGGGTGTTTATAAAGGGAGTCCCACATGTGTTGGAAGTCCTTAAAAGGGGTTCGGGAGGTGATTTGAAACAACTTTTTCCTTAGCGAAAATGTTGTCCGAAGCTTCGTTACGGAGATATTAACAGAAAACTCCCGACCAATCAGAGCGCACGTATGTAGGCGGAGGGGGGTCCACGCCTACCGCGGGCGGTCCAACGTTATACGCGCGCTCTGATTGGTCCGGGGTTTTCCGTTAATATCTCCTTAACAAAGCCTCGGACGACATTTTCGCTAAGGAAAAAGTTGTTTCTAATCACCTCCACCCTGTATATACAGGGTGTCCCAAAAGTGTTGTAACACCATGAAAGGGGTGGTTTATGAGGTGATTTGAAACAACTTTTTCCTTAGCGAAAATGTTGTCCAAGGCTTCGTTTAGGAGATATTAACGGAAAACACTGACCAATCAGAGCGCGAGTATGCCGGTGGAGCGGCCGCGGTAGGCGTGGTCTACGCGCTAGGCGACCGCGCTCATACGCTCCTCGCGCTCCGATTGGTCCGGGGTTTTCCCTTAATATCTCCTTAACGAAGCCTCGGACAAGATTTTCGCTAAGGAAAAAGTTGTTTCAAATCACCCCCCGAACCACTTTCTTTACACCTTTCAAGGACCTCCAATATATTTTGGGACACCCTGTATATACTATACAATACAAATATTACTAAAATAAACAATATCATTAAATTAAATTATACGTCTAATAACTATAGTAATTAGCGTTCATATCGCTTGACTAATCACTACACGGTTTCATTCCATTGCAGGATAGCGCACCTGAAAGAAAATGAGAAGACAATCGAACAGCTCGGGTCTGAACGCAGGAAGTGCAGGTGGCGAGCCACAGATCATCGTCGAGGAAAGCACACTGGGAGAAGAGGAAGCGGACCGGCGTAGAAACGACTCACCTCCACGATGTCTCGATCCAGATTCCCCATCCTTGAATCCTTATCTACTGTCCCCATGGAGGGAAACCAGGAAGCACTCTTTGCCGACTCCGCAATGTACTTCCGGGATCACCGCGTCTCAGGTACTTCATGATCGTTGTACGGAGACAAAACGCATTATTTTTATCGCGTTTCAGAAAAAACAAACTTGTTACCACAGAAAAATTAAAGAATTGTTTTAATTTTAAGAATTAAAGAAGTTCTCCACAATAAAATTAAAGAATTAAAGACCTATTTCGGTTTAATCATCAATCATCCACTCCATTATATCTGTCTTTAACAATTAAAATTGAAGTTAATTTCAAGTAATGTTTCAATTAACTGATCTGATGGTTAAAGATATCATTGCTTTTTACTTAATACTTTACTTCTAATACTGTTACATGATTATGGATGATAACGTTCAGATGGGAAAAGACGCAGAAAATTAATATCATTTTTATGTTAGTTGCACGCTCTCTATTCTATATGGGGCATTCAACGCCAAATCGGACGGTTTGAACATTTTTGTTTAGTTTCTTAATTTTTTGGTATGTTTTAGTACCCCTTAAAAAAGGCTTCCTCAGGCTATTTAGAACAAAAACATATCGAAATCAATTTATAATAAGTAAAAAAAGTATACAGTGTCAAAAATCGGTACTGATAATAATTTATAGCAAAACAGAAATTTTTTTAAGCTTTAAAACTCGAAAAAATTTCAGTTAAACACGCTTTAAATATTTTCTTTGTATCTTCTTTCGTAAAAGCCATCTGAAAACAATAATTTTGAAAAAAAAAATCAATTTCGATTATTCAAAATCTAATAACTTTTCAATATACATATCGACCATTTTGGATCCGCCATTTTGGATTTTACAATTCTAAAATCAGATTCAAAATTTACAGCTCAACTAAATCATAAATACCAAGTTTTATGCGAATCTAATAATTAGTTAATATATGTGTCGGCTATATTAAATCCGCCATTTTCAATTTTACAATTCTGATATCAAATTCGAAATGAAATAAACATAAGTCGTAAGTTGTCTACACTGGTACGTGAAATGAATAGTCGTCCCTACCTCGTCATTTTATGCCAAGGAGTTAAATCCCTTAATCACGCCAGGTTTCAGAGCGAGAAACGACTAACGAGTGCGATTGTGACGTATGCAAACAACGCATCATCGTTTGTTTCTCTTATCCGAGACTATTTCTATCAACAGGTCAGGCGACTGAGCGAACGTGGCGGAGAAGGATCTGGACCGTCGCCAAAGGAGGCTGCTTTTCTGGCAACGCTCTCTCAGGCACCAGCCCCTCAGCCTGGCGGCCGAAGGCATTCCGTTGTAACAATTTCCAAAGTCCCACCGACACTATTTGGCCGTAATCGTCGCGAGTCCATCGCAGCCTTTCCGCTGGGAGGCGCCACCAGGATATTACCCGGCCGTCGTGACTCCAAGTCTGGAATTTCGGGGCCACCGAGTAACAGTGGAAGCACGCATAATCTCCAGCTGGACATTATGGACAACATCGCTGAAATCAAAGCGAGAAAGGTGAGCACTGTATCGTGTTAAACATATACAGTAAAGCCTCCATAAATCTTTAAGGGTGCGCAGAAGATCCAGCAAAGCTTCGAATTGACTTCAGCGACAGTTGCGGAAAAAGTATGAAGCTCCGGGACAAAGGATAGATAGATTAACTTGTCTCTCCAATGATGCTGTAACAGAGAGGGAGATACAACAAACGGAGGAGAGACAAAGACAGAATTATGTCAAACATTTGTAATTTTCCAAACAGTTATTTACATTTTATGAAACGAGGAAGCGACCTTCCCGGCTAATCTTTTTTTTAAACTGTTCCTTGTAGAATTCCGCTGTGGCCGATACTGCCAGAATTTGCAATTCCCTTTTGAAACGTGCTGAAAATACGTTTAAAGACAAGTAATTTGTTGTGGGCCTTTTTCCAAAAATCTGGCAGTATCGCCAGATTCAAACTCGGGACTAAACTTGTGCATTTATGGAGACTTTACTGTAATTCGAAAAGGAAGGAGAGAGTTAAAGTGACATGAGAAATACTGCGGAGTCTCCATAAATGCACAAACTCGGGACTGAACTTGTGCAAGAGGTATACTCCCCAGTAGTGGGGATGGTTTCAGTGCATTTATGGTAGAGATATTTCTGCATTTACGGAGACTGTTGTAATTCGAAAAAAAAGGAGAGAGTCACAGTGACATGAGAAATGCTGTGAAGTCTCCATAAATGCACTGAAACCATCATCACCACTGGGAAGTATACCTTTTGTG